GGTTTGGGTTTGGGTTTATGAGTTTGGGTTTGGGTTTGGGTTTGGGTATTGAGTTTGGGTTTGGGTTTGGGTTTGGGTATTTGAGTTTGGGTTTGGGTTTGGGTTTGAGTTTGGGTTTGGGTATGTAGCATGAGTTGCTGTTTTACTTCTGCTACATCAATTTATTCAACTACTGGTCTTAAAGTATAATGCCACTTATATCCAGCTTCTTCCCTGTATTTAGCTATTTATTTTTGTCGATATGATCAAAAGCATGTTTCTATGATTCAGATTGTTAAATAGTCACATAAAGTTATTCTCAATTCTGAGAAGATAGCTTGAAAAGTGGATATTTTTGATTAGTTTACTCAAAATCTGATCGATGGTGTATCGATATCACATTTATCAACTGAGGAGGCGGTTGTTCGACGTTCTGCCGTAGTCAAACATTTGTTTTTAAGGGGGAGGTAGAGAACATGAATTCGACCCTATTTTGTTGAGACTGAAGAATGGCTTACAATGAATGAGAGCCTCCACATTTTCGCTGCATCTTGTCTAGTTTTCATAGATGTAGACTGAGTATTTTCTTTACTATGCAACATTTGATCATCCACGATATTGCATGCATGTGGATGTCACAGGAATAAAGGCAAAAAGTGTTACTGTAGTAATGATAGGAACATTGAGTACCAGTAACTTCAAAACTCGAAATGCAACTTGATTGTGTTCATGCGCTGTCACATCAATCTAGATAAACAAATTGCACTGTGCATTTTGTGACACTAGCATAAGTTTTCGAACAAAATAATCAATGAACATTTCAAGTCAAGTTGCTCCAGTCGTCTTCTTCGTCCCAGTGCAGATCAAAGCGAGCCATGCTCATAATATAGACGTTAGTAGCCGAGATTATCTAATGAGTATTTATAAGTCTTATTAGTAATTTAATCTAATATTTACAATCAAGTCAGAATAATGAAGTTTGAGATACGTGAATTTCACATTTTATACTATGAAAAACTGAATTAACAAGTTTGTGTAAAGCTTCAAAAGTGCTATCTTCTCAGTATTCTCTCCAACTTTCATAGTGCAACGTAATTAATAAAAATAAGGATTACTTAATGGTTTCAGAGAAAATTTTCGCTTTTCATTTCAGATAAAGAACGCTTAACTATCACTTATAATTTGTGTAATGAATTCGTCATTAAGTGAACTTTTTAACAAGCTATTATAATATAATAGAGCATTTGAAGCTCTGCAAGAAACGAAAGTACCATTTGCCTAAACTTCACTACACACTTCAACATAAATGTGCATAAATGCGTGACAAATGTACTTTTTTGTATAAAAACTAATGCTGTAAGTCTGACAGATTTCTGTCATAAGTATTGGGTTGTTTTTTATATCTATGGTACATGTCAATCAATCTTTTCATTGAAACTTAAACGCGAAGCCGTTTCGAAAGTATGGAATACATAACTATCAAAAACAACAGAGATGTTGATGAAATACTGCGAAGTTCTTCATTCTGACCGGTCCCCTGGGAATGCTTTTGCAAGTGGTTTTCATATGATGTCTGTAATATTACAAAATTAAAGTCGTTTATTTTTTATTTTTATGAGAAATGTCTTTTCATGACTCCGTGCACAATCAGATAGTAAATCTTTTTAGGAAAGTTTTATCTGAATCCATAAAAAGTAGGGAAGATATGAAGAAAATACAGAAACCCTCTTTCTTCACGCGTCACGATTAGATCAGCGCACTAAAAATCAACAGAATGAGACTTTTTCAAAAAATGGTTCAAGATGAATAAACTCAAGTCAACAATACTCATGATTAGCGGCTGTGATGTAGTCATGCGTTCACATCCACATTGCTATGCCTATTCGCGCTTCCTGGCATCTGCATTCACAATTTCATCTGCTAAACTTCGAACATTCAGAGACTTGATACATTCACAGCTATATAGTAAACAACCTTAAGTAATCGAATAATATCCGTAAGAGGTTACAGTCACTAAATCAGAGACCTTCAGAAGTCTCATTGGTTCATCTTAACCCTTAGCC